GTTCAGTCTGAACATATGGTTGTTACGTCTCTGTCTTCATTCCGGACAGAGGTTATCTTCTGAAATTATGATCTGTAGGGTTACGGTTGAACGTAAATAAGCAACATTAGGTTGGGTTAGGTGTTGGCAAGATTGTTCTCTCATATAAAACTGTGTGTGTGTGTGTGTGTATGCGTGTGCGTTTATTAGTTTTTATTTGAACCTCGAGGGGCCACTTACACACACGTTAGCACATGCTCAGGTGGCCTAGCAGTGTTTATGTGTGTGTTTTGAAGTATGGGTGTATACTCTGGTTGATGCTGTGTCTCCTGGCAGGACATTTGTAACTGAGACCAGCATGTTTGGATGTGGTAGTAAGCCTGGACAGAGTCATATGGTCACAATACAGCACCGACACACAGCTGCAGACCTGTCTCGGTGTTGATGCAGTTGAGTGTGACGTACAAAGCTAGCTAAATATAAAAAAGCACAATCAGTATAAATGATAGAAGGTGGATTTTGGTCTCAGTGAAACTGCAGATTGCATTAAGTCATTTAAAAGTAAGATTTTTCCATTTTCTACTCACTCGAGTCAGTCTCATCTGTCAATCATGACGTTTTCAAACAACCAATTAAAACCAAACTTGCTGGAAGATGAACAGTTGGTGAAACATCAGTGGGATATGAACTACCTGAAATGACGGAAAACGTTGAGAAAAATGTTTTCGACGTGAAATTTAACTTTTTAGTTTGGTCCATATCTCATCCGCTCACATGGAGACGGCAGGATTTACAATATACTGCAGTCAGTCACCAGGAGGCAATCGATACACTTCAGCCTCAGTTTTGGGGGGGTCGTCATGTCATCCATTTATATAAATATTTATACGTTTATTTCCAAACAAAACAATTTAAATGCAAACACAAAATCTCAAATCTTGAATGAAAAGGAGCAGAAAGAAGAACAATCTTATATAATCTGTCACAAGAAATGAACTAACAAAGCAAATAATTCAATAAAATAAATGATCTTTACATTCATGGTTTCTCATGTATTGTAATATGCTGACTGTAATATATTCTGCATTGCACTGAAAGAGAAGCACTGAAGTTGTTTCACCTCTTTTAGAAAAAGCTGTGATATCTGCTGGAGCTGCATCTTTGTTAATACATCTACGTTAATACGTCAGTGTGTGAAATAAAGTCCACTATGTAATCTACTGATTGTATAGAAAAGGTAAAGTGACTGTATTTATATAGTGTTTTCTCAGTTGATGCACTTCACATTATAAATCACATTAACTTATTCATACACATTCATACTTATATATGCTGCACTTTTCTATCTACACTGAGTTTCGGGTTCAGGGTCGTGCACAAGGACCAGAGGAGCCGACCTTGTTAGTGGACGACCCGCTCTTCCTCCTAAACCACAGCCGCCCATGAAAATGTGTTTGTGGATGGAGTCACTTTTCATAACTGTTCTCTCATCATAACCTCTGTTTCTGTGTGTGCTCACAGAATATGCCAGTGGGGGGTCTCTGTACGAGTACCTCTCCAGTGAGCAGAGCGAGGAGATGGACATGGAGCAGATCATGACATGGGCCATACAGATAGCCAAAGGTAACAAAACAAATATGTCAGGGTTTTATCTTATAGTGAAAAAAATCCAGCAGCTTAGAGGAACGATCACCAGGGTCCTGTACTGTGTTCAACTTTACTTGTTCAAGAGGTTTAATCAGCTTTTGACTTTCTTTATAATAAGTGTCTCTACATTTGTTGCTCTCTGTGCTGTGATGTGTGTAAAGGTAATTGAACAGAGTCACAAACAGCGTCTGTAACTTTCAGTTGGACTTCATTGACAAAAAGCAACTTGAAAGCTGAGCCCAAAATATGCAAGTTTGACATACTGTCAACTTACTTGACATACTGTCAAACTACTGCCAAAATCTCCCACACAAAATAAAATATGAACCCTGTAACATAGTGAACTGTCTTTCTTTCAGGGATACATTACCTCCATGCGGAAGCTCCAGTTAAAGTCATTCACAGAGACCTCAAGTCACGGAACGGTAACATTTATGACTCTGACCTGAGCTTCCTTTTCTTTTGCATTTCTAAACATGAGTAGATTTTGTCATCCGTCTGTTGCAGAACAATAATATTTAATGTCCCATGGATTTGACTGGATTCTCTCTTTACAGTGGTGATGACGGCAGACAAAGTGCTGAAGGTTTGTAATGATGATCTGTTTATTAATGGACACTCATCACCACACATCAGTCATTTTCTGCACAACCGTTAACTTATTGCACATATCTTCATATTGTGCATCCTTTTATAAATGTTTTAATTTTATTGTATTTTTGTATATTGCATTCTCACTTAATGTTCTTATACTTTAGGTTTCTGTTTACATGTTTCCCTCTGTTTTTATGCATCTGAGCCAGCGAAAGCCAGTGGCCTGAGGTATTATGTTTTTCGGGTTGTCCGTCCTTCTGTCAGTCCCTTCCGTGAACACGATATCTCAAGAATGCCTTGAGGGAATTTCTTTAAATTTGGTACAAATATTTACTTGGACTCAAGGAGGAACGGGTCAGATTTGGTGACCTCACAAAGTATGTTTTTTGCCTTGTGAATGTAATATCTCTGGAACGCCAAAGGTCAAGGTCACCGTGGCCTCACCAAGTATGTTTCTGTTTTTCGTGAGCATGATATCTGAAGCTTGAGGGAAGGTCTTCAAATATGATACAAACGTTCACTTGGACTCAAAGATTAACTGATTAGATTTTCGTCATGTGACTTTGAGATGTTTAAAACACAAAACATCAGGACTGCCTGTAGGGAATTTCATTGCATCTGGTACAATTCACTTGGACTCACTACTAACTGATTAGATTATGTTGGTCAAAGGTCACGGTGGCCTCAAAAAAATCTTTATCGCCTCCTGAATGTGATATCTCAAGAATGCTTCAGGGAATTTCTTCTACTTACTTTGTTCACTTGGACACAAAGATAAAGTGATAACGTTTCAGTGGTCAAGAGGCAAAGGTCACAGTGACCTTATATGAATCTGGGAAAAAAAGCATGTAGAAATACGCACACGGAAACTGCCCTGGTTGGTAATATA